ATATATATATATATATATATATATATATAGATAGATAGATAGATAGATAGATAGATAGATAGATAGATAGAGATAGATAGATAGATAGATAGATAGATAGATAGATAGATAGATAGATAGATAGATAGATAGATAGATATAGATAGATAGATACACACACACACATACATACATACATACACATTTCTAATACAGTACGTTAACATATTCATAATAGTCATCTCACTCACCTGCATCAATATTTGGGAATAAAATCAAAGTTCTCTTGTTAAAAGAGATGAGGGCATCCAAAGTCAGTTCAAACATCTTTACAGAATGTCTAATGTCTGTGGTCACAGGATGCTGCAAAGCGATTATATACTCTTTTGGTTTTACACCCTCACCTGTGAAAACAATGTAAATGTAATGCACACATACACACTTAAAAAGCAAAATAACTGAATTATTAAAAAAAACCCCAGCAAGCACAGAATTCACTTCATGAACATAGTGTTCCCGTAATGACAGTTGTAAAAAAACAGTTGTAATGTCAAATCTGGTCACGTGATTCCTCAATTTATGACCACAATGACTTACAGTCATAATTCCAGGCTTGATGCTATTTGTAAGCCAAGAACATCCTGTAACAAGATTCCTTTTTCACATTCTAACGTGAAAAGTACACTGATAAAGATTAATCTAGACTTCTGTTCCATGGTGCAGTTGTGGAATTTATATATTATAAATTCTAATATATAATCCAAAGACAAACATTTTTGGTACACCAAGCCAACTGTAACTGCCAACTATGACGGCAAACCCCAAAAGGGGCCAGATAAACTTTTGATGTACTCTGCTTCATGAAATCATAGTCTTACATATGCAACTTATTTACCTAACCACATTCGGATAACGCTCATATAATCCTTATTTTTGGCAGACAGCAACTTGTCATACGAAGGACATCCTGCCAGAAGGATGCGGTCATGGTCTTCACACATAGAGATCAAATGCTGTTCTGCACTTCTTGTGCAACACACGTGGTAATGAGCCAGCTTGGTAATAGCATGCCTGATGGAATCATCTATGGTCCCACTGACTTCTCCACCTTCAATGTGAAGAATTCGAATGTTCATTAAGGCAGCAGAAGTAGCTAGCGCTAAAGCATCAAACCGGTCTCCATGGACTATCATTATGTCAGGTTTCAGACGATTGAGCACATCGGGCAACTTGACTAAGGCAAGACCAACAGATTCCACCATAGCGGCTTCATCTTCCCCTCTCACTATTGTGTGTAACCTGCTGTGGATGTCAAAGTCATCTTGTTCAATCATACGGTAAGTATTCCTGGAAAGAGGGAAGAGGAAAAGTGCTTAGACTGCAGTGCCATACACTTTAACACCAACAGCATGCTAGTTACTGATATTAATGGTACAGTCAATATATTTGTCTGACAATGGTGGGTAATATTAACAATTTCAATCCCAAGAAATTTAATAATAATAATAATAACAATATGATTGAGGCAAAAGCAAGCAAAAGTAGTACCAACAGGCGCCTTCGGTGCAATCCCAAAACAACTGGGGCACAAATTGAACACCATCGACACTGACAAAATCACCATCAGTCAATAGCAAAAGGCAGCTTTGCTCAGAAGAACTTACATCCTGAGATGGCATCTGTAACATCATTAAACATCCGCATCTGCCTATCCTAGATCCATGGGAAGGACTCAACCAGTGGATTAAAAAACATCAAATCCAATCTAAACATCTGCCTAACTATGGAACCAACCACACTACTAATTATTATTATTATTATTATTATTATTATTATTACTTTAATTTATACCCCGCCCTTCTCCCGAGGGACTCAGGGCGGCTTACAGGTAAATAAAAACAGAGCTATACAATAAATATTTAAAAGCCAAATTAAAATATATATTAATTAACCTGTATTATAAAAATTATAAAATCCCTTTAAAATCCCTATAAAATCCCCCCCTAGGCCAATCCCGCTTGATGGAAAAGCCATGTCTTGAGGGCACGGCGGAAGGAGGGGAGATCCGGAATAATCCGGATCTCTGGGGGGAGTTCGTTCCACAGGGTGGGGGCTCCCACAGAGAAGGCCCTCCCCCTGGGGGTCGCCAGCCGACACTGT